AACATCGACCAGACTACACAGCGCAACAACCCAGAAGACAGAAATCTTCATACTCATCGCCCTGATGATGGAGGCAGTATGACCTCCGAAACGTTGGTAAACATCGACCAGACTACACATCGCAAGAACCCAGAAGACAGAAATCTTCTTCTGAGTCCATTTTCGTCAGTCAAAGTACCACGATATCTGCGACACACGCTGTAAAAATTGTACTTATTTTAATTTCCGTGATTCTAAAAGTGTCATCGAAAGATTCAGGTGACGTGGGCTAATATTTATTTTCGGGACGTGTTCGAGAACATTAAGAAGACCTTCGAAATCAAGAATGTTAAATGTTCGTTTTTGTGATACCGAACGGGAAATCAAGACGTTCAGATTTTAACTTTTCTCTGTGCAAATCCCACAAATACTTCCGTTTGTGACATTGCAACAACGGAGGCAGGACGAAGTACCAGTGTCGTTTCTGGTCTGCTGATAAGATTTTCTGTCCTTGCACAAGTTCTTTCGAAACTCTAACCTAAAAGACGCAATTACGTACCTGAAATCTGCATGACTTTTACTTCGTATCTTGAGATAAGACTTATCTCAGCTGAACCAATAAAAATCAGTATGTCGGTCATTTGATAGTGCCACTGACACATTATCAGGTAATCAGAAGCTTTCAAGAAAACTAAATATTTTCCTTATTAGTTGTTTTCTAGTGATGGCTGTAAACTGTCCTGGACTTTGTAAGGTAAGAAAATATTCTATTCTTCATGTGGGACTACTCGAACTCAAAAGAAATGTCTAGTTGTTCAGTGCCCTCAGTTTTGAATTCTTAATGTACAGAAGAATTTTCGTAAAGATGTAGCCTTCAGCAATGAATTCGCGTCTTAAAACAATGTCTGGATCTATCGATTACGTCCTAAAAAAAGTTGCTTTTACGAGACGACGGATTTCGCTGTTTTGAAAATACACAAACCTCGAGAATCATATTTTAGACACGGCTCTCTCCTCTCTGAATAACGGGGGGGAAAATGCCTAAGTTCTTTTGAAAAGACTTTTACAACAACGAAAAGTTCCTGCAATTACATACGTGGCACTACAACACAAGTATAAGATTTGTACGATTAAACTGTATAAAGGATTAATTAAGCGGGATTGGTATTATTTATTACACCCAGGAAGGGCCCAAAATTCTCCTTCGTCTGATAAAAATCAGTGAATTGTTACAGTGCAAGTGTTTCGACTCCTGCCCCATTCGTTTGCATTATTTTGGTGACAGTCTACTTAACTTAAGTTTACTTACCTACCTCTGTTGTTGTACCAGAGACATATTTAATCAACTAATAGCCCTTATTTACGTATGTACGTGTATACGAGGTGCGATCGGAAAGTTTCAAGACTGTGTCATTAGAGGGCGAACCGGATGTAGTACGAGCTTCTGCCGCTAGGGGGTGCGGCCTACATTCATAGTGAATCAGTGTGCCAGCCGGCATCATCGAATTAGCATTTGTTTCTTAGTTACGGGCGTTTTGGTAGTGCATTACACCGACCCTCCTGCGATTTCGGAATGGCGGATTTTCATGAACAAATCAAATTTTGCCAAAGA